GGTCAGAGTGGTTCAAAGGTGGAATCAGCTGCCTGGAGAGGTGGTTAGCTCCCCTTCACTGACAGCTTTCAAGAAGAGGCTGGATGAATATTTGTCAGAGATTCTTTAGGTTGGTCCTGCATTGGGCGGGGGGTTGGACTAGATGGTCTGTATGGCCCCTTCCAACTCTATGATTCTTTGAGGAAGAAAGTTGATTCCTGCCTCCCTGATTGGTTGGTGGGAAACACCCAAGATGTCCTCCTTTCCTCAGAGGAGAAGGACCCTTCACAGTAAGTGCCAATGGTTGTTCTAGTGGCTGTCACCTCTGCATGTAGAGTTAGTGAGTTGAGTACCCTCAGGTGTGAATCCACCCTTCACCAAATTCTACCCAGATAAGGTGGTTATGAACCCCAGCCTCAATTTTCTACCCAAGGTTGTCTCCAAGTTTTTATTGACCAAGAAACCTTACCAGTTACCCTTTTCCTACCTCCACGGCTGAAAGAACCTCTCACACACTAGTTGTTAGAAGAGCCCTTCTCTTTTATTTAGAATGTACAGAACACTTCAGAAAAGTCAAATATTTCTTTGTTTCAAAGGGGTTAACAAAGGGAAATCAGGATCACCTCTGTCCATTTAAAGATGGGTGGTTAGCACAATCCAGGCAGCATACACTGTAGCTGAGGTGCCTTGTCCCGTTGACATCAAAGCACATTCCACCAGAGCTCAAGGTTGTTCAGCAGCTTTCTCATCTTGCATGGTCAATACCATTCACCTTTGTGTGACACAACTCCATGGACGTGGACACTCATAAGAAGGCATCGGTGGGGAAAGCGGTTCTTCAGTCGATCTTCTGTTAATCAGCTCGCACCCAGCTCCTTGGTAGTGAGTTTGCTATTCTCCCATGTGGGACTGCACAGAAGCCACGGCAATGAAAACAGAGTTGCCCTTACCTGTAACCGTTGTTCATCAAGTGGTCTTCTGTGCAGGCACACATCCTTCCCTACCTTTGTGTGACACAACTCCATGGATGTGGACACTCATAAGGAGGCATCGGTGGGGAAAGCGGTTCTTCAGTCGATCTTCTGTTAATCAGCTCGCACCCAGCTCCTTGGTAGTGAGTTTGCTATTCTCCCATGTGGGACTGCACAGAAGCCACGGCAATGAAAACAGAGTTGCCCTTACCTGTAACCGTTGTTCATCAAGTGGTCTTCTGTGCAGGCACACATCCTTCCCTCCTTTCCCTGCTGTGGGCTGTTTATCGTTTCAGGTCAATCATAGCCCTCATGCTGGTGAAGGGAGAACTGAGGACAGAGTTCTCACCCTGCCCCGTCACATGACCCTTTGGGCGGAAAAAGAAATACACTGAGACAGGGGCAGGGTGGAGCATTCAAAGGCTGTTTGCAAAGCTTGTTAGCTCTTCCATGGCTGGCCTGTGACTGCGTAGTCTCCATGTGTGCCTTCACAGAAGACCACTCGATGAACAACAGTTACAGGTAAAGTCAACCCCCCCCTTTTTTTTTTGCATTAATGAGCTCACTTGTGGATTTACGTCTCAAATGTTTCTTTGAATTCTAACTTGCTTATTGGAAAAGCATGGAGAAATAATACAAACCTTACTGTCATAAACTCATCCATCCATTTATTGAAATTTTGAAATGGATTGCAGAAAACAGTCTACACCTGGGTATCTGTTGTCATCCCTTACAGACTGTGTTTATGTACTTACTTCACCATCAATGAAAAGTATCTTCCTGTATAATTCCTTACCACTTACGATGCCGTGATTGACTGCAAACATGTTTTATTTGAATATATATCCTTTTGCCACCTGTGTCTTGAGGGCTGTCAGAATGGCTAATAGTGTTTGTTGATTTGGATCTATATCTTTTAAAGGGCTTACAATACAAAACTCCTCACATAACAGACTGGGGGAGACTGTGTAAGAGAGGAAAACATAAAAATAAAACAACACTAAATTTGGTAACAACAGAGACTCCCTCTGCATATCAAGAATGATGAGTGAGACTTCTGAATGTGGTGGAAAAGGGTGATCCTCTGACCTCATCCCAGAGCAGATATGTAGCTGGCATCAATGGAGCTGTCACACAGAATGGTTAATGTCTGCAGGTGTTTGGGCTGTTTACCTTTGCAATATCATCATGGAGAAATGTTTCAGACAATTCTTCTCATAAATACCTGGCACTTTTGAAGTCCATGAAAGGGCTTTGAGTTTAGTCAAATAAAAAATTGCTAATAAAAAGCACATCCAGTGAATATCCTGATGTCGTGTGAGCTGGTCTCACAAGCGGACTAAATGTTGCTTCTGCTAGAAACAAATCACTTGCTGTCATTTGATTGCTTTCTGAATAAATTTGTTTCATCTGAGTAGGAATTCTTACTAGATTTTAATAAAATTAAGCAAATGTATACTTTTTATTACTTGCTCAGATACTAGAATGTAGTTGAGCTGCATACTTTGCATTGATCTGGTTCTCTGAGCTTTCTGAGTTTTGAATTTTTTAACTGCATACGGATTCAGAATTCATGCATAAGACACTTTCATAGCTTCCTTGTGTATTTCTCACTATGTTTGTGTAGTGATGAATAGCTCTGAACTTTTGTAATCTTTGTGCAAATTATGCATTATGCGAGTATTGTAAACAGATACCAGAGGACTGTAAATCAAAATCTGTAATCGTAGCAATACATGAGGAAAGATCTGCTAGAGGAACTTTAGTTCTCTAGAGAAAAGTAATGGCACAAACATATTTGAAAAGCTACAGAAGTCTTGCTCTGGCAGCTGCATAGATATACATTTTCTCTAACTGGAAAATAACAACACATGCAAACTTTTCTGTGTGTAACTTTAAGTCAGCACACTTAAGTTCTTATGCAGTGTCATTTTCAATATACATCTCTCTTTATGGAATAGGGTTATCCCCATATATTTATTCTGAACAAGAAAAGGTGTGATGTTTCGCTGCTTTTGTGTTTGCAAAAGGGTGGGGGCTCAGCGGTAGAGCACATGCTTTGTATGAAGAAGGTTCCAGATACTTTTACTGGAAATTCCAGGGGTTGTGTCTCAAATAGCAGGTGACCTGGGTTGATCCATGGTTTGAATATGTCTATGAACTAGTTGTGTATATTCTGTATATATTAAATTAATGTTTTGCTTTTCCTCTTGCTTTCCAGTACTTTTTTGTACCTGAAATTTCTGGTAGTCTGGGCCCTTGTCCTGCTGGCTGATTTTGTGTTGGAGTTCAGATTTGAATATCTTTGGCCGTTCTGGCTTTTCATCAGGAGTGTTTATGATTCCTTCAGATACCAAGGACTGGTATGTAGAACAGAAAACTGCTTTATTTTCTCTCGTTTCTAGAAGTGTCAGCACACCAGTAAACATTGTGGCATTAGAAGCATAAAGCATCTCTGAAACAAATGTTTAGTCCGTTGGCGCTCATTGGCTCTACCTGTAAGCAATCTATACTGTTCTAAAAGTAAGCTTTGTTGCATCTCATAAGGTTCCCTTAGGAATGTAAAACATTTTTAAAAGCTTAAATAAAAGATTATTGCCATGCATCATTTAAATTTTTTGGAATGTATGAAAATGTTAACATTCTCTCTCTTCCCCTCTCCCCCTCCCTTTCCTATAGGCCTTTTCAGTATTTTTCGTTTGTGTAGCATTCACGTCCAATATTATATGCCTACTCTTCATACCAATACAATGGCTGTTTTTCGCTGCCAGCACATATGTTTGGGTACAATATGTCTGGCATACAGGTAGGTCATCTAATTTGTTAACATTGCCCTTTCTAAATGTAAATATTGGAGCAGCAATGTAAGATATGTATATGGTTATTTTTGCAAAAGTCTTGTTTTAGAGCTCAGAGTGGCTTACAATCTTCCTGTAATCTAATAAATAAATTAAATTCAGTCTTGAAATATCCTTAATGTGCTTACATGTACCATGCTCATGATCCCATGGTTGGCTTGACTAATGGCACAACTAGATGAGATGCTGAAGATCTGATCTCCAAATGTCTTTAATGTCAACAGTGATTACTGAGGGTGCAGTGGGTTTTTGAACAGGGGATATTTTCTTCTCCCTGGCCATTTCCCAAATAAGCTACTCTGAGCTGCTGCTGCCCCCAGGAGGGAAAAAGACTGACGAACTGTCTTGTTCTCCCACTGGAAAATATCCACATTGTAAAGGAGGCAGAAATGGAGTGTGCAGAGGGGAAGGAAGAGTTGATCCCCTCCACCCCACCTCCACAACTGCTTTAGAAGAAAATGAAATGTGTCTGAAGCTCTGGCTGGTCTACATTAACATGCCTGCCATGGAACTTCCATCAGAGAATTTGGTTCATGTTGAGTCCTGGCCAGGCCTTTTGGGCTTTGCAGTTGGCCCTTGCAAAATTAAGCAAAGCCTTAAGCATGTTACAGGGTGAATTTGATAGTGGTGGGCAGGTTGCCTTTTAAATGGAAACTTATTGGCCATTTTTCTTATTGGAGGAGGAGGAGATTGGATTTATACCTTGCCATTCACTACCCGAAGGAGTCTCAGAGTGGCTTACAATCTCCTTTCCTTTCCCCTCCCCACAACAGACACCCTGTGATGTAGGTGGGACTTAGAGAGCTCTTTTGAGAACTGCTCATGAGAGGACAGCTCTGAAACAACTTGTAACTGAACCAAGATCACCCCAGCAGCTGCATGTGGAGAAGTGGGGGATCAAACCTGGTTCTCCCAGATTAGAGTCTGCACTCCTAGCCACTACACCAAACTGGCTGTCCTTGGTAATTCACAAGGTTTCAAGGGACACTATTTGAAAACTATTGGTGTGTAAAGGATCTCCAGAATAAGCCAATAACAAACATTGTGATGTTTTCATTCTGGAAGTCATTTGGTGACAAAATCAGCACATGCTCACAGGGATAATATGTGCATTGCTAGCAGCATGAAAGCCTCTTCCCTGTGGTTTCTTCTCAGGCTACACTATAATGTTTGGGTGCAGGAACCATGTGCACAGGGCCTGGCTTGTAAATAGGCACTCATTTTAAAGAACATCCTCCAAAAGGCTTTAGTGGGAAGCTTCATGAAATGGAAGCATATTGGTTCTTTCCGCCATAAATATGCCACAATCAGTCTGTGTAGACAGACTTTTTTGTGGATTCATTTGCAGCATTGGCAGGGCCAATGAGATGATCCCTTATTGCCCAACCAGTTCCCTCTATTCCAGCTGGGAAATGCCTAGGTGGCAAGAAACACTATACTTGCCCTAAGTGTGTGATTTGTGCAGCCAAATGTTACTAGGATGGTTTGAAAGATCATAAGAACATAAGAGAAGTCAATGTTGGATTAGGCCAGTGGCCCATCCAGTCCAACCCTCTGTCACACAGTAGCCAAAAATACCAGGTGCCATCAGAAGGTCCACCAGTGGAAATAGGGATGGGCACAAACTGGGAAAATGTAGTTTGTGAAGGTTTGTGGTGTGCCCGGATTGTGAACCATGAACCATCATGAACTTTTAAGAGCTAAGAGCCAATGAGGTTTGTGATGTGGTCGAACACTCCCCTGGCATGCTAGAGACACCAAACTTGCCAGGAATCTTTAGATGACTCTCCTCTACCTTTCTCCAAGTTTGATGAGGATTGGATGTATGGGGTCCAAGTTATGTCCCCTGAAAGTAGGTGCCCCATCCTCCATTGTTTCCAGTGGAGGAAAAAAACAGCAAAAAAGCAAGGGCAATAGAAGCTCAGCAGAACAGAACCAGTGTCCCAGAGAATCTCTGCAGTAGAAACTGAAGGTGTGGGAGGGTGCTTTGAAGTTTGGTAAACCTTTTGTTTGAGCAGAGACAGTCTGTCTGGAAATGTATCCCTTCACCAACCAGGACAAACCTCTGAGAACTGCTTGAAAATTTGTAGAAAGTTCATGCTGGTTGACCTGCCTCAAGCTTCAGTTTGCAAACCATGAACCGGCCAAAATTAATCATGAACTTTAGTTCATGAGCTGGTTTGTGCCCATCCTTAATCAAGAATGTGATATCTGAACCAAGCTACTGTGTGAAACGAAGAACCCCGCTAAAAGGGATTTAGCCACTGTAATATGGGAACTGCTTCCATGTGGCTCCTCCTTCCTCTCTTGTGTTTTGATTCCCCATTCCTTGTATATACAAACTGAGCCTGAAACCATGGATTTAAAGTGGGTTTCAGTACTTGGTTTAGAGGAATTGGAAGCATTAATCAAGCCAGAGTTGATTTTCATTCCTAAATCTTTCTCCCTCCTTCCTCAAGCTATTTCTCCTTTTTTCCAAATTGTCTTTGCCGAAACGTGTTCAAATTTTGCAAAGTTCACTTACTGGGTACAAAAATGTATATCCAAATTTGGCAGCCCTGGTGTAAAATATTATATAACATTTAGGGTTTCTTTGGTATTTTCAAGCGTTCAAGGCATTCTTGTGTAATCCTTATACCCCTGAAATATAAGACTGTGTCATTGCTCCCGTGTTGCAGAAAGTGGGGTGAGGCTGAGAATGTGTAGCTTGTCTCATGAGGGTTTTCCTGACTTCTGGTTTAGTCTCAGTATCCATGCTGCACCATCTCATGTCTGAGATGGCAACATTCTAGATGTAGGAGGGATGTATGAGTGATTATCAGTGTAGTCCTAAGCAGAGTTGTATCCTTCTAAGCCCAATGACTTCAGTGGATGTACAAGTGTGTAACTCAGGTTTGATCTTTTTGAGGGGAGTGCAGAATAGGACTAGCACTGGGTAGGTACACTTTGCCATAATTAAAATATCTGTCTGCTCTTTCCATATGAATCTTCCCAAACACATGTGCTATGGTTAGTGGCCCTGCTGTGTGTGCCACCACCATCTGTGCTTTGGGAACACAATAAAGAGCCTCCTCAGTGTGGCACCAAATTTGTAGGACCCCCCCCCCCCCCAGCCAGGCCCGTATGGCCTCCTCACTGATGTCATTCAAGAACTAGGATGTGTTTCGTTGGTTTCAGCAGGGGTCTGAGTTTGGTTAACTTTATTTTGAATGGGCAACTGTGGTGTTCTTTTTGATAGGCTTTCTGTTTAATTTTGATGTGGTTTTATTTTTAAATGTTATTTTTATTTTATTTATTTATATTAAATGGCTAATCTCCCTTCAGGACCTATTAGGCCTCAGTGGTGGGATATAAGTATCTTAAGTAAATGAACTGCTCTTTCTTAAACATAATGCAGAACCAATTGAACATATTGGAAGACCAAATGTACAGGGTTTTAAACACACATTTTGAAAAGGGCATCTTATTATAGCTCAGTTCTAGATGTGTCATAACAAAAGTGCTGTTGATTTCTTAATTCCTAAAAGCACTGACTTAGGAGTTCTGGTTTCTTTTTATATGTTAATGATGCTTGGTTTTTTGTCTGTTCCCAATAGAGAGGGGAGTGTGTTTACCAACAGTATCGCTGTGGATACTATTTGTTTATATTGAAGCAGCAATTAGATTTAAAGATCTCAAAAACTTTCATGTAGACCTTTGTCGACCTTTTGCTGCACACTGGTAAGTGTTCTCCAAACATTTTCGTTTTTGTGAGGTTTTTTTTTCAGAATTCATGACCTCATTTCTCATTACAAAGCAGACTTCAGTCTTCATATGCTACAGATGTGCAGCGATGGTATTTGTGGACTCTTAATTCTTCAAAGGACTTGGAACTGAATTGTACAACCAAGATTGCAGTGAGGGCCCCATACCAGCCTGCAAATCAGATCTGAAGCTTTTAACTACAGGAGACTTCTTGTGGCCTTGGTTGACTCTTCTGTCCAGCGGCATTTTTTTTAATAACACCTGTTGTGAGAACAACCGGTCTAATGGTTATTGCGTTGTCTGTTGGGTAGGGGTTGGTTTCAGCAGTGTGCAGGGACTAAAGGCAATTACTCAGGCTGAACTTTCAGAAGCCCTTTCTGTATACATGTTGTTCTTTGAACCACAGCTGCACAATAACAGCAAAAAGTGAGAAGGAACTCACACTACCTTTAGTATATGTTCATTCCTCCATAGAATGGCTTACCTTGTGCTTTGATAATATCAAAATTGCCTTAGACTTCCTTGTTCAGTGAGGTTTCAGTGCTGACAATTTGGTGGTAGTTGGTTACATGGAACGTTCGGATGGTATTATAGGGAATGATTAGAACCACAAGATCCCTTTGTTAATGCATTGTTCCATGATTATTTTTTACTGCTGTTAGCACTTTGCTTGATTTATAGTTGTGATTTTAAAATAGCTGCTAGCTTGGATTTTATTCTGCAGCTCTTCTGCGGATGGGGGGGAGATTTAGCTAGACAATCTTTGAGACAGAGAGTGGAAGACATTGAACGTCAGTCTGACATTTCAAAAACATCTAATTTTATTGTTGCTCCTCATAAACGTTTTCTTCTCATTCTGGCCTCCTATCTTTACAATCTTGAAAATGTCAATCAAAGAAGAGCTTTCACCCTTGCTAGATTTTTAGCTTTGCCATCTTCAGTTATTGAGGGCATATATAACAAAATTGCCCGGACTGAGAGATTTTGCCCTTGTAGCAGTGGTGAGATAGAGTTAATGGCAATGTCTTTCTTCACTCTTCTTTCTATAATGAAATTTGTACTGCCCTTATCTCCCCGTTACTTGAGGTCTGTCCTCCTGACACCTCCGACTCTGGGATCGTTAACATACTTCTCTCAGATGTGAGTATAGAGATCCCCCGGAAAGTTGCTAAATTTTGCTCCCAAGCGATTAAACTGTGTTCTATATATATTTCCCAACTCAATGTGGAAGATAGTAGCTGATTGTATTCTATATTAGAAATTCTGTTAGAAACTACTGTATTTGTATTAGTACCAATTTACTTTTATACACTTTTATATTTGCATACCTTAATTTTATATTTTATCAGGATATGGTTATTTTTCTGGTCATGGACTGTAAATATAGTAAAATAGCTGCTAAATTAATTTGTTGAAGTTCATGATTGTAGGCATATTAATTGCCAGCAGAGCACCATTGGAGTCAGCAAGGTTCAGTTCGCAGAAGTGTGCCCAGGACTATCACTTTAACAGAATTAGTGGACTGTTGAACTCTAATTAATTAGGGTAACTAATATTGCCCGTACCAGAGAATTAATGTGTTCCTTTAATATAACATAAGTGTTCCAATATTGTGAAGGTGCAATGGAGAAAATAATAGAAAATGTTGCTGTTCTTAGGCAGTTTCTTTCTACCCAAGGCTTCTGAACTGAGAACTGTTCTGCAAGAGCACTTTCTACTACAACTCAGGTCAAACTGTATTCAGCATCTTGGGTTAACTGAAGCTCATGGCCATCCAGGCGCATAACTTCCATGTGTGGGGGATGTGCTTTTCATAAAGGTAGCATAGTACTCTGACATCCTGGAGGAAGTGGGCATTGCCCTCCTTGCACAAACTGTATGCCAATTCATACACATCATTTCCAATCCTATGAACACGTTTTATGCCTTTCCTTCTCTCCTTACATGGTCATATCTGCTGGTTACTCCAGGCTTTCAAGCAGCCAGTAGTTTCCCATTGCATCTAAACTGGCAAACTGTGGTTTATGCTTGCCACTGGTAGGCAGAATTGGCTTACCATGGGCAAGTGCAACCATAGGCTTGGATCCCACCTAGAATTCCCTAGAAATCCCACCTTTCCTCATGACTTGAGGCATTTTATAATCCATAACAAAAAACATCAATTAACAGTGAAACCCCCAATCCCCATGCTATCTCACCTAATATAATGTCATGCAATTTACATCCCGTTTAAAGCTCTGATAAATAAAATACCCTTACAGTGCCCACCTCACCTCCTCAGTGGAGCCCATTCGATATCATGGGAACAGTACTGAGAAAGCATAGGCCTCATTGATGCCTGAAGGGCAACATCTAGTGAGGGAATACCCAGAAGGTAGAAGGTTGAAGATTATAACTGGCACATGGGGGCATACAGGGAGAGAGGGATCTTTAGATATCAGGATCCCTGGCTGTGAAGGGCTTTTAGAGTTATGACCAATACCTTGAACTGAGCTTGAAATTGAGTGGCAGCCAAAGAAGATGTTTTAAAATAGGCAAGATGTGTTGCCAGTAGCCACCCCTAACAGTAACCAGGCTTCCTCGTTTTGAACCAGCTATAATATCCGGGTTGTTTTCAGGGGGTGCCCAACATAGAACTTATATAGTCATTTCATATCTGTGGTTTACCGGGGGGGGGGGCTGCTTACCAGTAATTAGTATTCTTCAGATTGGCATTTTTGCAATCACGCAGTATACTCCAGGGGGGGGAAGGTGCTGCTTACCAGTAATTAGTATTCTTCAGATTGGCATTTTTGCAATCACGCAGTATACTCCTGTGCGGAGAAATGTAGATCTGCTGAAGCTCAGCAGCTTGGCTGCAGAGAAGGGTGTTGGGTGAAAGCAGTTCTTATAAAGATTCTCAGGGTGAAGACTTAGCAGGGCAGAAATTTGGAGGGTGAGCACTCAAACTGATTGACTAGGGGATGAATCTCTTAAGTTGCTAACTGATTTCAGCTTGTTTAGCTTGTACTGCCTGCTTGAGTTTTGCTTGCCTTTTGCTTTACCTTAAGTATTGTCAGGTCCTAACACTCAGATGTGAATGTCTTCCCATGACCAGTAAAGTTAGTTTGTCATTGAAGTGATACATGTGAGATAATTGCATTGTCATTTCTCTTGATATCCTGTGGTGGTGATAATCATTACTTTGTTCCAGGACTTCATTTCTTGTTTGCCTTGACATATAAATGATCACAATTTAACTTGTGAGTAAATACCAAAGTGATATTCACTCCTTTCTGTGAGCATCAGAGCTTTTGGTGTGCATTGTAATCCTGATATTTTTTGTTACATCTGAACACTTCAGTAGTTTACCAATGTGCTTTTGTCTCTATTAACAGTTGTCTTTTTGTATTCCACCCTGCATCCAGTATTGGCTATCCTGTGGTGACTTTGGGCTTTGGCTTCAAAAGTTATGTCAGCTATAAGATGCGGTTAAGAAAACAAAAGGAGGTGCAGAAAGAGAATGAATTTTACATGCAACTTCTTCAGCAAGCTTTACCGCCAGAACAGCAGATGCTACAAAGGCAAGAGAAAGAAGCAGAGGAAGGTAAGTGGCTGCTTTTTGACTGGCATGGCACTGAGTTAACACTAGTAGCTCCCCGCAAACCATGGTTTTTGAATTTGGAGCCAGCCTTGTGGACTTGTGCTTCCTCTCTGAATCAGTTTCTTTACCTTCTTCACTTTGCACTGCTAATCATCGTTGCTTTTACATGTTCAGTGACACAGAACATGATGCTTGCAAACCGTGCTTCTTCATGGTCTCTTTGCAGTCCCATATAGGGATGGGCATAAACCAAAAAAATGCGGTTCAGGGTCCCCAAACGGAACTGACCCAAAAGGCCTGAACTGGTGAGTTCAGTTCCCCCTTTCTCCTGGCTGTGGCAAGCTGCAGCTGGGAGAAGGGAATTGCTTGGGAAGGCTTAAATGGCTGGCAGCCATTTAAGCTTTCTGTTTCGCTCCCTCCCCCCTCCAACTGGGGGGAAGGGAAACCCACTGGTCAAATGGCTCACAGCCATTTCAGCCTAACAGCGGGCGGGGGGGGGGGTGCACCCATCAGCAGTTAGGCTGAAATAGCTCACAGCCATTTAAACCTAACATGTCAGCTGCGGACCCATGCCGCTCAGTTGTTAGGTTTAAATGGCCAGAACAGCTGAACTAGACAGAAGTCTGGTAAATGTTCAGGGAAGGTGCCTTCACCGAACATCAGTTCAGGGGCTCTGAACCAGCACAAGCTCATGCCAAATTTTGGCTCGTGAGCTGGTTCTTGCCCATCCCTAGTCCCATAATTGTGTTCTCTACCTCTGTAGAACTTCTTCAAAAACATTTAGAGTTCAAGAGTTGACAAGTTGGCACTCCTGCCCTCTTCCTGCATAGAACAATTGGCCTCTGAGTGTACTTCAAGATGCCATTCTGTTTCCTCTATACCTTGCCATGATAGCAACATTTTCTCTGAGAGTTTTTCTGACAGCTCCCATCTTCTTATCGTTTGAGTACCCTTGCTGTGCTGTGATTTTTTTCAGCTGTACCACCGTTTTTAGTTTTCTTGGGAATGGTTTTATTTTTCTTCTTGTCAAGAAGGACAAAAAATGTTCACTTTTTATGGTTCACTTGTTCACTGTCTGTGCAGTCCTGCAGTTAGGTGGCCAGTAAGCTAATATGCATGCAAGTGCTTTTTCCCTTGTAAACCAGAGACTGTAACCATAGTTTTGATAAAGGTGGTTTGCAAAGCATTGTTACAAAGGAATCTGTTTTTTTTCTTTTTCTTTCTTTTTGCTTTAGCCATGATTTTTAACTGTACACTTGTATCTGAGCACGCATCATTGGGAGCAGAAGGGAAATAGCTTTCATAAGAGTGAAAAGGAGGCTGGTTCCCAATTTGCATGCCGTAAGCTTTCAGAGAGCCATGGGGGAGCCTCTAGCAGATCATACTCAGTGCTTCATTAACCTATGAAATTAGAAGAACTTGAAGTCATTAATTCTCAGTTCCTTATCAGAGACGATAGAATAATATGGTGGATTCTTAATGTGATGAAATATCTGTGTTATTTCATATTGTTTTACTAATGAACAAAGTTTGAGTCCAGTGGCACCTTGCACTTCTGAAGAAGTGTGCATGCACATGGAAGCTTATACCTTGAATAAAACTTTGTTGGTCTTAAAGGTGCCACTGGACTCAAACGTTGTTCTGCTGCTTCAGACCAGCACAGCTACCCACCTGAATTTGTTTTACTAATGTTCAGAGTAATTGTTTGTTCATTTGCCCAGGTATTAAGTAGAATGTTTGATTATTGTGAGGTGTATACATTGTATATACTACAGCACTATCTAGTATTACTAAACTGAAAAGAACAGTTCTTGTAAATATAGTAATGTATTACTCAGCTCTGCAAAGTTTGAGCCTTCATCCAGCGTAAGTGGCTTTTCCAATGAAGGAACAGCCAGAAGTTGGGGGAGTGTTTCAAAGTTTGCTGAATGGAGTTGGGAGTGTACAAACCTAGTAAGTTAGAGCCTGGCTATTTTGTTCAGCTTCTTGGTATACAAAATATAAATGCTCAAATGTATATTAACAGCTTTAAGTGAGCTGCCCTTTTAAACAAAGGTCTCAGTCCAGCAAAAGTCGTGTAGCTAAGGTAGCAGTTCTAACGATAGTAGAAAGTAGTTTCTGTTCAAATCAGCTGGATCCCCCCCCCCCCTGGTAACAGTAGGCAGGATCAAACTGTGTGCCTTGCTATGAACCATGGGATTTAGTCAGAGGATTGAGGCCACTGTTGTAACAATTGTTAATACTTCATACTATGAATGCTGAATGCAAAATGAAAAAAGTGAAACCAAAATATTTTTAATTGTGTAAAACAGGCAGCGTCATAGCTAATCTTAAATGACAAACTTGGTATTTGAACATCATTGTTCAGTGTTAAAAGTAACCTGGCATGGTGGCTTAAAGGTCTCTAACTGTGCAATCCTAAGAACACTCTCCTGGAGAGTAAGCCCCATTGAATAGATCTGAGTAGACCTGTTTAGCATTGCTCCTTAAAATGTTTGTGTGACTACTATAAAGTTGGGCTGTTGCTGCTGAACAGCAGCCAGTCTGTACGTGGTTATACTGGGGAGCATGCTGCAGTGCTTGTGCAATGGCTTCTTAACTCTGATAATTGTATTTTTCTAAGCACTTTACTCTTCAGTTCTGAAAATTAGCCTTACCAGAATTAGTTTGAAAGGCATTTCTTGAGTTCTGTAATCAAAGGAGTAAAATAGTTGTTTGTTGGATCAATGGGGACCTAGACATGAATGCTCTGTGTTAACTAGATTTTTGAAGCCATTTGAATCAGTTGACTAAATTACTTTCTGCAAAAAGGAAACACAGAAACCTTGTCACTTTTTCTCTCTTAGGAAGCAGGTTAAGTGAGCATTCTGAATTCTTTTTAAGTTTTACAGAAGTGGTCCCAAGTGTAGATCTTTATTGAACTAATTGTGCTGCTGGAACCAGAAGGCAAGCTGTCAAGTTGCTCAGAATTGTTCTTCAAGAGTTGTCTGATCAGACATATGCTTAGTTACCAAAACAGTTCTGTTTAGTTTGAGATCTACACTGTATACCAGAGAGCAAACCCGGACTGGTTCTTACTCAGTGGAGGATCTTCCACTGGAAAAAAGAAGCCCTTCTTCTCCCTCCTCAGAACCCTCCCATGTTTTTTCCCTTTAAAACAAGTACATACCTGGTAAAGATGACAAGTTCATTGTTGTTAGTATATTTAAAAACATTAATTGTGGGTTTTTTCCTTTTGACTTTTTTCCAGCAGCCAAAGGACTGTCTGATATGGATTCCTCAATACTTTTGCAGCACAATGGGGGTATTCCAGCCAATAAAAAATTATCTACAACATTACCAGAACTGGAATACAGGGAAAAGGGGAAAGAAAAAGACAAAGATGCCAAAAAACATAACCTTGGAATAAATAACAATATTTTGCAACCTGTAGACTCTAAAATACAGGAAATCGAATACATGGAGAACCATATCAATAGCAAAAGATTAAATAATGATCTTGTGGGAAGTACAGAAAACCTCTTAAAAGAGGACTCATGCACTGCCTCGTCCAAAAACTACAAAAATGCCAGCGGCGTTGTGAACTCCTCACCTCGCAGCCACAGTGCAACTAACGGGAGTATCCCTTCCTCATCTATTAAGAATGACAAAAAACAGAAGTGTGCTAGCAAGAGCCCAAGTGCACACAAAGACTTGATGGAAAACTGTATTCCCAATAACCAGCTAAGCAAACCAGATGCACTGGTAAGGTAAGTTTGATATGTTAGTGACCTAATTTCCTCTCATTTCTTTGTCGTGCTTCCTGTTGTGCATTTTGTTTATGTTTCCTATTAAGACTCTTTTTAAAAGCAGGCTATGATGCTCAGGAGGAGGCAGGCACTGTGTGCTGGAATCCGTGTATGGTCTGGGTTGAGTTACATGGTGCCATTCCAGTCCTGTGATCTTGTTATGGGATCAGTATTTAAAGGAATGCATAGATTGTCGTGGAACTTGTTGTAGGTGCCTAATTCTGTGAGTTCTGTTCCTTGCTATGTTACACAATTACAGTTGGCTTAAGCTAGTACAGAATTACAGTGGCATTTTCTGACTAACCTCATAGGAAGGAATTATTCACTTGGGGATGAGTGGACAGACACATTGTCATGTACGTGAGTGACTGTGTGTGGAAATAATACACTTCAAGTCATACTTCTTGAATAAAGAGACTTAATGTTTGATTTTTGAATATCACTCTCAATGTATACTGGGTGGGAAGTGAAGAGAAACTGATGCCGTGATGCACAAGTGAGAGGGACCCATGAACAACACATTTTCAAAACTCTTGAAACATTCTCCATGCTAGGCACCTTAAGTTAAAAGCCTTGGCTGGCATTTTGTGTTAAAATTGGTTGCTGGAAGTATAATATGAATGCAGCAAATATTTGTACATTTGATAGAATGAACTGTACTTGAATCTGCATAAAGGGAAATGGTGATTGAGAATACAGTCTCATTTATTTATTTATTTACTTCATTTAAACACTGCCTTTTCCCTAGTGGGGCACCTAAATTGCCTTATGCTGTATTCCTCTACCTCCATTTTGGCTAGACTGAGTGTGTATGACTGGCCCAAGGTCACCCAGCAGGCTTCCATAACAGAATGGGGATTTGAACCTTGGTCTCCCGGATCCTAACTAATTACTATGCTTTGCTGACTCTTATGTTGACACAGAACCTGAAAAATAGATGCTGAGATATGGACATAGTCTTAAAAGGAATTGATGGAGGTAAATAAAATACATTATTGTATGCAGATATGTAGAGATAAAAAAGTGAACTTCCAAATGTACAGACATTTATTTTTCTTGTTTAAAATACCATAAAACATCATATGCTGCAAAGCTTCATGAATTAATTTTATTACTTTGGATGTGAATCACATTGAATGCATTGGCACCTTTGAGTAAACACGCATAGGTGTCAGCTGAGCCTCTGCCGTTGCTGCCATGGCTGGTGGGGTGGGGGGGAGAGATGTTGGTCTGCTTCTGTCCTGGAATCTTAAGTTTTGTTTCTTCTTATGCTCTTCTTATCTATGTAGCCTCAGCTAGTGACCTTGGTACCTTGTTACTGCTTTCCCCTGGGAATGTCAACCTGTTAGCTTAGGCGGGCTTTTGCTGATGCCCTGATTGGACCTGGGTCATCAGGGCCCCAGTTTGAATTATGTGTAACTCCCTGCTGGCGCATTTTCCAGTATTTCTGCCCTGATTGGACCTGGGTCATCAGGGGCCCCGTTTGAATTATGTGTAACTCCCTGCTGGTGCGTTTTCCGGTATTTCTAACACAGAATGTATGCACAGAAGACCTGCCTTTACTGTACTCAATAAGCTTTACTCTTTTGAATGAAAGTTGTTGGGAACTGATTGTTGTGGGATTCTGACAGAGTGTTAAGCTCCTCCTGTAGTTCCCAAACTTGTACCCCACTATGGCTAACGATGACAACGGGAACGTGGCAGTGACTACTACGGAAGAAACCCCTATCACGACAGGGCTGGCAGTACCCACCACGGCAGCAAGTGGGGGGGCTGATCCGTGCGGGCTGGAGAGACCTTGGCAGGACTCTTACTCATGGGCCCGGTTCTCCACTGAGACAAGGGAATCCTGGATAATGACTCCCCTCTCAAGGTACGACCAACAGTACGAGCCTGCCTACCCGCCCAGTGGTGCAGATGAGGAGCAACTGGAACGCCTGTGGTGTCAGTTCCAAGCACAGCAAAAGGAACTGTGGAGAGACGCGCAAGAGATGATGCTGGACCTGTCCCATCTCATCATTACGACGGTGCAGCACGAGCTGAGGCTGCAGCACCCTAGCAGTGGTGGCGTTCCCCCAGCTGGTCCGGCAGACCAGGTGCCCGTCGCTCCCGGTCTAGCGCCGGGGCCAGCTGGCCTGCTGGGGGGGTGGCAACAGACCAACCACCAGCTGTTCCCCCTGGAGTACCCGCCCCGGGACCCCCCACTCTGGGCCCCAACCAGCACCGTGAGATGCTGGATGCTACGTTTGACGGTAACCCAGAGAAGCTTGCTTTTTTCCTGTTGCAAGTACACAAATTTCTTCAGGATTAGGGCCAGACCTTCCCATCGGATGAGCACCAAGTGGACTACATTGGTTCGCGGCTGAGAGAACCGGCAGCCGACTGGTATGTGGGGCTCCACAACATGAGAGGCCTCAAGCTTCATGATGTGCAGGCATTCATGTGGGTGCTGCAGAGGCAGTACGAAGACCCCATGGAAGCAGAGAAGGCTTGCACTAATCTACAGGCTCTGAAACAGGGAACCCGCTTGGTACAGGAGTACTCAGTTGAGTTCAAGATGTATGCGGCTAAAATCCAGGAGAGGCCAGAAGCCGTGCTCATTGAGCAATACTGTCTGGGACTGAATCATCAAATCCTGGAAATGTTGCTTCGTAGTGTGAACCCAGTGACACTGGCAACCTGGGTGTGAGAGGCTGGAGATGCTGAGAATCGCCTCCAGATGATCCGAATGCATACTCCAAAGCCTGACCCGAAAATGCCAGGGGGGGGAGTGAAGACCCAATGGCCAAAGCCGAAGGAGCCACTGCAAGACCAATGAATGAGGCAGGGGCTGTGCCTCCTGGTTGAAACTACGAAAGGAAATTTTTTTCACCAAGCTGGATTTGAGAGATGCTTACTTTCAAGTGTGCATCCGGGACGGGGATGAATTCAAAACTGCTTTTAACACCCCGTTGGGCCAGTTTGAATACTTGGTGATGCCATTTGGGCTCCAGGGGGCTCCTGGGATGTTCATGAATTTGATCAATGAAGTGTTGCACAAGCACCTATTTAAGGGGGACCTAGTGTATCTGGATGACATTCTTTTATATTCCAAAGACAAAGACTCCCACATAAAATTGGTGTGGGAGGTGCTAGCTATTTGCTAAATTGTCCAAGTGTGAGCTTCATCAGACTGAGGTTGATTTCTTGGGCTACCGCATTTTCCCCAGGGGGTTGGAGATGGACCTCCATAAGGTGGCAGACGTGTTGGGGTGGGAAGTCCCCCGGACTAGACACCAACTCCAGTCCTTCTTAGGATTCGCGAATTTCTACCATCCCTTCCTCTCCAATTTTGCCCAACTAACCTTACCCCTCACAGACTTGTTAAAGACCAAGGGGAAGGGGCAGGACACTACAAAGCCAAGTGCCCATTTAGAGTGAACTGCTGAGTGCCAGAGGGCTTTTGACAAGCTCAAGGAGCTGTTCACCTCTGAACCAATTTTACACCACCCAGTTGAAAACAAAAAAATTATAATACAGTTTGATGCCTTGGATGTTGCCGGAGGGGCAGTACTACAAGAGGGGGGAGATGGGAACTTACACCCCTTAGCCTACGTTTCTAAGAAATTCAATGCTACTGAACGGAACTGGGCAGTGTGGGACAAGGAAGCTGCAGCTATTAAGTTACCTGGCGACATTGGTTGGAGGGAGTGCAGGTGCCATTCGAGGTGTGGACTGATCATAAAAACCTGGAAGCCCTGCACACTCCCTGGAACCTGAACACTAAGCAGCTTAGGTGGACAGAGTTTTTCTCTAAGTTTCACTTCACCCTCCAGCACTTCCCTGAAAAGACCAATTCTCTGGCTGATGCCTTATTGCGCCTCCCCCAACACGCCAGTCAGAGGGAGGAGGTGGTGGATTCCATGTTCACGCCCTTTCTCCTGGGAGGGGCTGTATTGACGCGAAACCAAGTGAAGGCAGAGACTAGTGTGGGGGAAGAGCCATGGATCACAAAGTTTAAAACGGCTTTCACGGATGCTGACAGGGAGGAAATCTCCAAAGACTCTTCCATTCAATTGGGAACCAACGGGTGCTGGTATTGGGGGGGTCAGACTTTTTGTGCCAAAGATCCTCTGTGGGGAGGTTCTGCATTTTGGGCATGAGTCCAGGCTAGCCGGACATTTTGGGTATCTAAAAACCCTTCATCTGCTTCAAAGGCAGTTCTGGTGGCCCCACATGCGATCTGACATCTCTCAATATGTGGGGTTGTGTCAAACATGCCTGATGAGTAAACTGCGTCCAGGCAAGCCACCCGAGACGCTTCAGTCTCTAGAAACTTCTAATCAATCCTGGGAGGTGATTTCTATGGACTTTATAACAGACCTGCCCCCCAGCAGGGGCAAAACAGTGATTTGGGGGGGGGGGGGGACTTGTTTTCCAAGCAGGCACATTTTATCCCTTGCAAACAGCTACCCACGGCTAAGGCTCTGGCTAAACTGTTTATGCATCACATTGTGAGGCTGCGTTCGGTACCAGCCAAAATAATATTCGACAGGAGCCCAGTTCGTTGCCAAGTAGGAGTCCTACAAGTAGGAGTTCCTTCCAGAACAAGTAGGTGGACTACTCAGAGTAAATCAATCCAAGTTCTGGAAGGAACTCCTACAAGTAGGCGTTCCTTCCAGAACAAGTAGATGGACTACTCAGAGTAAATCAGTATAGTCAACAGGATAGGGTGTCCAATAAACAATGCGATAGGATTTATATTGTAGAAATCTGGAACCAACCTGAAATCTGAAAACAGAACTAAAGCAAAGCATAAGAATGACACATTAAATCAGGGGTGTCAAATTCATTTGTTATGAGGGCTGGATCTGACATAAATGAGACCTTGTAATGCCAGGTAGCAGAGATATAAACTTTATAAAGGACACAAACAAACGCAATTAAAGGTTTTTTAAACTTTAAATAACACATGCTTAAGA